GGATGGATGGATGGATGGATGAATAGATGTGTGCCATGGGATGGGATGACTTGACGTCCCCTCCTGGTGTTGCAGCTATGCTGCTTTGGGGTGGGCAGGCTCAGCCCCACTCTCACGCCCAGGAAGACTCCTGGCAGAAGACCCTGGCCTTCCTGGAGAGGCACCTGTATGGCGTAGGGGTGACGGCGGGTCTCTGAGGGCCGCAAGGTGTGGAGGGAGCCGACGGAGAAGATGCAGCCGGAGATGGCAACATTTCTCATCACGATTCAGCCACTGCTTCAGTATCTTCAGTTCAGCCTTGGCTGCACTATGGACTCATTGCTAAGTAGTAACTGAATGTAAAGGTTCCCATGATGATTATAAAGACAGCAGTCGTATTTCATTATTCAGATACCCCACAGTCACTGATTGTCAATCAGAACAATGTAAGAGAGCAATAATTCAAATTCCGTTAAAGTCTCAATTATCTACTGACTTTATTTTTAAGTGTGGCTTATAAAATGTATGCCACAGATGGCAGTAGGCAGGTGAATTTTGAGCTGTCATCAGAGATTTCAAGTTCTCGAATAAACCTGTATCTAACAGCTAATGCAGCTTGTCTGTTTTAGAAGGTTGGTGAACATTCTGGCTGATTGTGGGCCTAGGAGCTTATCCAGAGCCTGCTGAAGGTGTTAGGGTCAGCACCCATCTGTCCCAGCCTGTCATGTCTCCTCTCTGTTTGGCCAGCAGATGTCACTGGCCATCCTGTTCTCCTCATTGCCCAAGTCATTAGTGTGTTTCCCCTGCTCCCCAGCCTGCCGCATGGCTCAATGAGCTGAGGGTGTGGTTACCTATAAAGTCCTCAATTGCATGTTCAAACCCCACCTCCTCTGATTTTATATTTTGTAGACTTTGTTCCCTAGTATTCCTTTTGTATCAGTTTTTTTAGTTGCTGTGTTTTGTAACTTATATTCTCATTTGGCTTTTTGCTTTGTGCCTTGGTTTTGTTTTACCTGCCTTCGTTATTTTCCCAGTGTTAGATTCTGTTTCTTTGTTTCTCTGTCAGTTTCTTAGTTTCCCTGTTGATCACATAGTTCCTTGATTTAAGTATTGTTTCACCTGTTGCCTGTTTTCTTGCACCAGTCCTTGTGTGGTCTACCTGATTGCTCGTTGTCCTGCACCCTCCCTGATTGGTTAATTTGTTTCATGTCTCACTCCTCCTGCGTTGTTACCCAGTTCAGTTTGTTATTCATCATCCTGCTTTAGTTCACTTCCTTAGTGAGTCATTGTTTGTTTCAGAATGCTAGATTGATTAATAATTGATTAATTAAGAATGTTGATTAATAATTATATTTTGTTCCCTGCCTGCTCCTTGGGTTGCCTTGTTCCTGGACCTTGTTCCCTTGACATTTCTTGTAGTCTTTGTTTTCCCTATTTGTAGTTTTGACCGCTTATGGTCTGTTTGTTTTGTAGTGTTCCCAGTGTTTTCTGATTCTGTTAATAAACCCCTTATGTTCCTGTGGAGCCACCAGTGGATCATCCACTTCTTTCCTGCCTGCACCATGCCTCACCCTCGTGAAAGAAACTCTCGAGTTTGTGACAGAAAGTCACCATTGCGTGTGAAACAGCAGTGACCCTGTGCAGCTTTACTACCGTGCTATACTGACAATACTGTCATGTGTCACTCATCCCCATGTCCTCCCTGTATAACCAATGGTTTCCATTTGCACCTGAACTTCTCCAGGTGATGCTGTCGTTCTCCGCTCTCCTGGCCACATGGAGCGGCTGTGCCATCCCCCGTGAGAGATGTTCATAAATCACACAGGGGAGAAACCCAATCCCCCAGCCCAGCACACGCCCCGGGGAGAACATTTCTCTGCTTTTCTTAAAAAAGCCCAGGTGTGTCTTTACATGCCAAAGCGCTTGGTGTCATTAAAGCTCAAACCGCAGCACTGCAAAGTCCACGTTTCATTTGTGAGGTTTCTCTGCTCTGCTCCTCCATGCTCCACGCTTCTGGAACATTGCAAGGTATTTTTCAGCTGGTTACACTTGAGAAATATGAGACCTGTGATTTTACTGATAATATCTATTTATTTAGCTTCCTTGACTAGCAATTTGCAAAGTGATTGCACTTTTGTTGTTTATGTGGGGTCATTTGGAGATAAATACACCTGTTGCTCAACACTGAAATTTTCCTTGAGATACAGTTTATCTATCCAATCTATGTATCCGTCTGATGAATGAGGTGAGATGTTGCCTGCTCGTGGTTTGCAGAATTCCCAAAACGTGTGAAGACCAGCCTTCCCAAGCTGCTGTCTAATATCTAACGGATCATCCTCCTTTGAGGTCTTGGTTACTGGCTCTAATTCACATAAGTAATATTTCATTTTTAGAATTAGCATTTGATCATTGCATTGTGTCTGATTTCAGGCCAAAATCTCTCCAACAGGAGCTTATAATTTTTTTGTTTAACTTGCTTTCTAAAAGGGTGTATTCATGCAGTTTCACCAAACGTAAGCGGAGAGTGATATTTAGTACTGCACTTTGTCTGGTTACAACCGCTACCACTGGATATCTGAGTGAACGGAAGCTGCATGTGGAAACAGGTTTGAGCCACACTGTACCATGTTGCTCTTCCTTCTATGAATGGCTGGTTAAGGTATCTTGACAGGATCGCATAGCATTAAGCTACGGAATACATGGCAGAATGCCTTAGTGTTAAGCGAGTAAACATGTGACAGGAATCATTAGTACTGAGCAGCTGAAACCATGACAGGATGCATTTGCATTAAGCGACTGGTCATGTGACAGGATCCCTTACTGTTATGCAGCTGAACACATGAGGGGATGCCTTAGAGTTAAGCAGTTGAACATGTGTCAGGATAGCTTAGTGTTAAGTGACTGAACATGTAACAGGATCCTGGGACTGATGAACTATGGACGCAGATCTGAATCCCTCAGCAATATATTCGGATGCCGATTAAGAGTAGCAGCCTGACATAATTTTGAAAGAACTAGATGGCAGTGGTACATTATTCATCCCTGTAGGGAAATTGTCTTTTCGCCTGTCCCATCTCGTACTCTATGAGATTCACAGACAGGTGAGAGCAAGCTTTGGGGTCACAGTGCAGGGTGAACCAGCGTCCAGCACCCTGGAGCAATTGGGGATTAAGGGTCTTGCTGGAGGGCCCAAACCAGGATTCGAGTCCGAACCCGCTGAGCCGCACACAGATAAACACTGACGGTTTAGCGAAAGCAGAGCGATGACCTTCTCTCACGCAGCAGACTCTGTGAATTGCCCTGGCTAGGGTTGCTAAAGGGTGGCGATTATTTGTCCTGGTACAGACGCAGTTGCACTCACTCTGGACTCATTTGTTTGTTTAGATTTTGCGTTTTCTTATTACAAAACTCTGGTGCTACTTGATTTTCCAGCGCTGATTTTCCTTCATATTTAACTGAAATTTTGGCTGGACGCAAAACACGAGTGGCAGAGAACGGGGAGGGGGGTATTCCACCAAAGCAGTCTTTTTACATTAGCTAGATTTCTTAAGCCAAATATAAGGATTGTCGAAAACTAATGTCATTTAATTAGCTCTCTTTCTATTGGACAGTTTTAACGTTTGGCTTAAGTTATCCAGCTATCTGGGAAATTCTGCTTTGTGCAATGCCCCCAGACCTCTTTGGTTGTGCCTTATCCGTTGAGGAAAAGTTTCTCTTTTCGCCCCCTCTGATGCGCGCGGCAGACTGCATGGCAGCTCGTGCAGTTGCTAGGTAATAAGGTAAGCTTTGTACCAATCAAATAAAAGTACCGAAATCGCCAACCGTCACTATATTTTACCCGTTATAACCGTTTACGGGCACAGGATTGTATATATAAACATAACAAGGAAGCAAAAAGAATAGCGGTAAATGGAAACCAAGTGAGGTTTTATTTGAAACTGCGAAATTCTAAATTAGATGTATATTTTCACAAAAAAACGGAACAATTCTTATCCTGGGAAAAATATTAATATTCCGAGACAGTTGCTCGAAAAAAAGAAAAATCCAGAGAAAACCAGGACAGGTTTCAGGCCTAGCCCTGGCAATAAGAGACGAAGGGGCAGATCTCTCACCCCCCGCCCTCCCGAAACGCTGCCCCCCCGCCCCGAATCATCTGCGGCCTTGCTGATCGTTGCACCCTCCTCTCTCCCCGCAGTTATGCCTGCGCTGACGCTCCTGCTCCGCACTCTCCTCCATCTCCTGGGTAAGCCGTCCTCGCTGTGATAGGCAGGGTGAGGGGTGGGGATGGAGACCTCTTTCTCTTTCACTCTGACGCATGCCTGCTTATTGTGTAAATGGAGGGCACCACGGGTGCAGCTCAGGCTTTGCTTTTGGTTAAGCACATGCATTTTCATCCTGAATCTACTGTTCATGCTCCTCTGCTTGGAGCGGTCCTTCTGGATGAGCCAGTCACTTTGCCATTTTATATGCAGACAGTTTGCAGATGGGGGTAGCATGTGGCTCAGTGGGCTAAGCCTGTGTGCTTGTAATCAGATGGTTACTAGTTCAAGCCCAGCCTTAGCATGTCTGCAGGTCCTTGAGCAAGGCTCTTAACCCCCTGTCAGCCTGTCAGCATCAGAAAGAGGTTCTCTCTGTAGCTAAAACCTTAAAAGTCTATGCCCTATGGTTCCATTATTAATATGATTATTTTACATTACAACTATATTAAGCTGTGGTTTATGTTTAATATTGCTTACATCAATATGGCTTAAGAATAGACTAAAGCCCTGTATGATTACCAGTCTTTGGGTCAGCGGTTGTTACTGGTCATGTGATGTGTCACATGGTCAGATGATGTCACTCTCCTGCTGCCTACCCCCTAGTACTGGTGGCGTCGCTCCATGCCCAGGATGACTGCTCTGCCAGTCCCTGTCACCCCCAGCTTGGCGACCTCATGGTGGGCAGGAGCGGGCAGCTCTCAGCCTCGTCCACATGCGGCTTGAAGGGACCCCAGAACTACTGCATCATCGGTCACCTGGAGGTGAGGCTCCCTGCTCAGTGTGATGAAGATATGACCGATGGAGAAACATAATCTTCCTGTTACCAACCTAAGATTCCAAAGTATAACAGCCACCCAGCCACAAGGACCCCTAATGTACTGAGAAATTGCTTCATTTCCAAAAGCTGGTAGGAGAGCTGTCTGGGAATTCCATACATTACAGTGAGAATGCTGATCCCAGAGCCAACCGGAGCTGTCAGATACCCCAGAGTGATCCCACGCAGCACATGGGCACGTCAAGGAGGAAGCAGCGTGTTTGGACACGAGGCCCAGGCCCTTTTGCTGAGCCCTGGGGGCCAGCGACACGCTCCCACTTGCGAGGCTCGTTACTGCACCGTCCCTTTACCTCACAGCGCGATGCGATGCACCACTGGCTGATTCGCATGACTTCGTTTCTGTGGAATAAAAGCCGTTGTTTGCACAGCTGATTACAGCAAACCTCAAAAAGATTTCTGCTGTTATACATTTTTATGCCAATCTTCCCATCATTGTTACTTTTCCCTCCCTCACAGGACGAGCACAGGGTTTTCTATCACTTTCCATCAGTACTGGTGATCTTTCATGGTATCACTTAGCAATAAGACTGCCCTTATAAAGTGTTTATGAATGCTTTATAATCAGGTTATTGATTGGATTGACACATTTTGTAAATTATTAATAGACAATTATGAACAAGTTATGACAGCTCTTTTTTATTAATGAGTTATTACCATTTATAAGTGGCAACGGGAACCTTAAAGTAATGCAGGAGGAACAGTGTGCAGGAGGAACAGTGTGCAGGAGGAACAGTGTGAGGGGTGGCCTCGGTGCCTATAATTGAAAGGTTGCTAGTTTAAATCTCATCTTCAGCAGAGCAGCCACATCTCCAGCAAGCCCCTTAACCCCCGAAATGGTCCAGGGCTGCCGGATGGACAGCTGACCCTGCACTCAGACCCCAGCTTTGCACTGACCTCTATATATGCGTGTGTCATTAAAAACGAACAGCATGATGGGATATGTGACTGTGAATATTGCAGTATACTTGTACAAATTATAAATGAATTTTAATTCCTTTTGAAATGTATTCTGCATTACGTTCAATATTTGCATTCGTTAAGTGTTTTTCCATCCTTTGACATCCCATATTCAGGATGAACAGAAATGCTTCATCTGCGACTCTAGGCATCTGTACAATCACTTTAACAACCGGAAGAGTCACCGCATTGAGAACGTGATCACGACCTTTGAACCCCAGCGCAAGACAAGGTGGTGGCAGTCAGAGAATGGTAATGGTTGTCCTCAGGGAGCAGTTTCTCTGTTTGGGGGACGGTGTCCATATCCTCCTGATATCCGGACGCTGGTTCTGTGGCTTTGCAGGTGTGGATCACGTCAGCATACAGCTAGATTTGGAGACTCTTTTCCAGTTCAGCCACCTGGTCCTCACTTTTAAGGTAGGCCAGCAGGTTTGCTTCTGGGAGGGTCAAACACACTGCCCCATGTGGTGTGACATCAATTGTTGTTTCCACTGACAGAGCTTCCGACCCGCTGCGATGCTGGTAGAAAGGTCAAAGGACAACGGGAAGACGTGGAAAGTGTTCCGTTACTTTGCGCAGGACTGCGCATCCTCATTCCCCGGCATCCCGACAGAGGCAGCAGTGACTGTCAGTGATGTCATCTGTGAGAGCCGGTACTCAGGGGCAGAGCCCTCCACTGGAGGAGAGGTACAGTATGTCATGCGTGGTTTTAGTGAGGAAAGTGCGATGCTTACATTGACTGGAAATGACGTCTCAGCTATGCATGTCTTATAGGTGGTGTTGAAAGCTCTGGACCCGAACTTCCAGATAAGCAACCCACACGCACCCCACATACAGGGTTTGTATAATTTATCTAACAGTGTTTTTATAAGTGTTCTTATAGATAGATGCCCTGGGACATCTCCACCTGTTTAACTTTGTGGTTAATCACTATCATTGATGTCTCATTGATATCTCATCGCTGTCTCTCTTTAAACTGATTATCTCATCGCTGTCTCTCTTTAAACTGATTTTTAAACACATTCTAGATAATCTTGAAAATTAATAATCATTACTTTTGCAAAACTTGCTAGGTTAAAAATCTTTTAGTGAGACTCCCTGCACTATAATATCCGTACCAAACTGAAGGTAAGAAAAAGCCTGATCTTAATCTAGCTGACTAGCAATGTATGAATTGGACGTGCATAACATGCGGTATTAATATCGCAAGTTGTATAGTCCTACTACAGTCTTTTTTTTTACCTGTTTTTTTGCCAGTAGAAAACCAATACCTTTAAGTACCAGACTTTTGGTACCTTCTTGAAGTACCAAAAGTCCGGTACCTGGTATGGTGGAAAAGCACCCTGTAGTTGAGCGGTGAATTGGGCAGCTTTTCAGTGCTGTATGTTTCGTGTGTGCAGTACGTTCTCTGCTTTGCGCCAAGCTTCTTCTGTTACTTTCTGCTCAAAGCCCACGGGGGGATAACTGTGGAGCATGAACAGAGCGCCATTTTGAGTCCGAGCCATTTTGAGTCCGATTCAGCGTATACATGCAGGAGTAAATCAACTCCCAATCACATTATCTGAGTGTCTTAGTCCAGCTTTGAGAAATCGATTTAATATGATTTCAGTTGGACTAACATGTTTATATGTACAGTGGTACCTCAGCTCTCAAACTCATTTAAACTCGAATTTCTTAAAAGTCGAACCAACCAGTTTAAAAAAAATTACCAAGAACTCGATCTGAATCTCAGAAGTCAAACCGTGAACGCCGACCTAAGATAACTTGTATGCGCAGGGAAATGAGTCACGCAGCACGTCTCTCAGTGGAAACAAAGGGTAACGCTTCAGTCTCAACCTCGCATTCACTGTGAGAGCATCGTGCATGTTTACACTAGCTGAATACATATATTTAGACAGTAAAAATACAGTGGTACCTCAGAACTCGAACTTAATCTGTTCAGAACTCCGGATCAAA